TAGGAAAATGCAAATTGAAGCCGCAAGGAGACAGCACTGCAGGCCTCTGGGAATGGCTAAATAAAAGCGCTAACAACAATTGCTGCTGATCATGAGGAGAAAACAGTGTTTCTCATACATTGCTGATAGGAAGGTGAAATGGTACAACCACTGGGGAAAGAATATGGCAGTTGCTGATCTCGGTAAACGCACTCACTTGAACTCTCCAAGTTTACCCATCTCAGATCTCCACTCAAATGTCACTTCCTCCATGAGGCCTTCCTTTACCTTGTCTAAAGTAGCCATCTCACTGGGGGACAGTTACAAACGCCTGTAATCCCGGYGATTCAGGAGGCTGAGGCAGAAGGATTGCGAGTTCAAAGCCAGCCTCTGCAACCTATGGAGGCCCTATCTCTAGTTAAAGTATAAAAAAAGGGCTGTGGATGTGGCTCAGTGGTTAAGCATCCCTGGGTTCAATCCCTGGTACCAAGAAAGAAAGAAAAAGACAGAAGCCACCTCTGTCACCTGGCTACTATATGGTGAGCACTTCTTACCACCCGCAATTATTTACTGGTTAACTTGTTTATTACCATTCTCTCTATCCTTCCCTGACCCCAAAACTTGCATCAAAGTTTTGTGAGAGCAGGCTGGGGATGTGGCTCAAGCAGTAGCGCGCTTGCCTGGCATGCGTGCGGCCCGGGTTCAATCCTCAGCACCACATCCAAACAAGGATGTTGTGTCTGCCGAAAACTAGAAAATAAATATTAAAAAATTTCTCTCTCTCTCACCTTCTTTTTTTGTTTGTTTGTTTTTTTAAAGAGAGAGTGAGAGAGGAGAGAGAATTTTTTTTAATATTTATTTTTTAGTTCTCAGCAGACGCAACATCTTTGTTGGTATGTGGTGCTGAGGATCGAACCCGGGCCGCAAGCATTCCAGACGAGCGCGCTACCGCTTGAGCCACATCCCCAGCCCCTGTCTCACCCTCTTTAAAAAAAAAAAAAAAAAGCTTTGTGAGATTAGGAGCCCTGTCTTTCTTGTCTTGTGTTTCCCAAAATCTGTTGGGAGGAAAAGGAATGAATAAGTGCTTCCCTTACAGGTCTGTCTGGCCTCCCTCCACGTTGCAGCCAGGGGGAGTTGTGGGAAATATAAATCTGGCCAGGCTTATAAATCCCCAATAGCTTCTTGCCCTCAGAATTAAGTCTAGACTTAATTCTTAACATACGTGCAGGGTTTCTTTCTTTCTTTCTTTTGTAATTGTAGATGGGCAGAATCCATTTATTTTATTTGTTTATTCTTATGTGGTGCTGAGGATGGAACCCAGTGCCTCCTATATGCAAACCAAGCGCTCTACACTGAGCCCCTGCGCCAGCCCCACATGCAGGGTTTCTAAAAGGTAAAATGATGACTAGAAATGAGCCTCCGATCAATTTGGGGAGCTCTCAGGCCTGGCTTTTATCCTGTAGGCCCTGAGAGCCATTGAAGGCTGCTGAGAAAGAGAAGCACATGACTAATTAAGAAGCTTTGGGAATCAGAATCATTAGACTATTCAAATGACCACTGATCTTTAAGAAGCACAAATTTGTCTTTGTCCCAGCCAGATCATATCTTTAGAGGACTGGGGAAGAAAAAGAAAAAGGGGTTCACTGTGATCATGTGTGACCATTGGCACCCCAGTTCCATCACTGCGGGCAGAATCTTGCCAACGTTGCAGGTCCACTGGCAAAGGCAGTCCAGGGCTTCCTCCGGATACTTGTAGAACTAAATCTCTAAGTCATTTGGACTTAGGCAGTAGCACCATTTTGTTTGTTTGTTTGTTTGTTGGTATTGAGGATTGACCCAGGGGCACTTAATCACTGACCCACATCCCCAGCCCTTTTTAATATTTTATTTAGAGACTGGGTCTTGCTAAATTGCCTTGAGGCCTTGCTAARTTGCTGAGGTTGGCTTTGAACTCGTGATCCTGCTGCCTCAGCCTCCCTAGCAGCTGGGATTACAGACGTGCACCACTGCGCCTGGCATTTTTGTTGTTGTTATGTCCCATTTTACTGTGTGTGTAGAATGCCCAGCTGAGAACATAATTGCAAATATTCGGTTGTGCAAAAAGAGGTGCTAGTAGGTGGGTGCGACATAAGCAACTGATGCGAGGCACTAAGCAACTCAGTGAGGTCCTGTCTCGAAATACAAATGGCTGGGGATGTGGCTCAGTGGTTAACTGCCCCATGGTTCTATCCCCAGTACCAAAAAAGAAAAAAAAATTTAAATTGCTTTTTGCAATGCTGGAGCTTGAACTCGCACCCTCAGCACACCCTCAGCACCCTCCCCCTTGTTTTCTTCCAAAGAAAGCTTTTTTTCTTTTTTTTTTTTTTCCTGCCAGGGACTGAATCCAAGTGCGCTTTACCACTGAGCCACATCCCCAGCCCTTTTTATTTTGAGACAGGGTCTCACTAAGTTGCTTAGAGCCTTGCTAAATTGCTGAGGCTGGCTTCAAACCTGTGGTCCTCCTGCCTCAGCCTCCAGAGCTGCTGGAATTACAGGCGTGTGCCACCATGCCTGGTCCAAAAGAAGCTTTCTTGATAAATGGTGCGTAATTGGGGAACAAAATACTCAGGGCATAGGACTCCAGGAGAGAGCCTGGTGAATTGGTTCTGGAAGGGTCCAAAGAGAGGAGGAGATTGATTCTAGAAATAGTTAACTATAGAATGAACCAGCCTTGGGGATGGAGAACATGCACAGGAAGAGAAGAAACTTTTCTTGCATTCTGGTAACTTCTTTCCTTCCTTTATTTAACACACACTTATTGAGCACCTACTAGGTGCCAGTGTACATCTAGGGATAGTAAAGATCCCTGTTGCCAAAGAGTGAACATTTGGCACAGAAGGCAGGTGAGAACACTAACACACACACGTCATTTGAGACAAGGCAAGTGCTGGAAAGAAAAAAAAAAAAACCAAGAATGTGAGATCAAAAAATTTCCCACGGGCTCAAGGAGGGCCCTTCTGAGGGAGCCATATGTGAGCAGAATCTGAGATGAAAGGAGCCAATCAAGCGGGAAAAGAGCAAGTGCAAAGAGGTGGGGGGGGGCGCTTCACAGTGAGAGAAGAGGAGGAGTGTGATGGAGGAGTAGATGGAAAATACAGCATCATTTGGACCTTGGGAAGCCATGCTCTGGAGTTTTATTTTAGGGAGATGAAAAGCCACTGCAGTGTTTAAAGAAGGGGACGACCATGCTCTGGCAAGAGCTGGACGGGGCAGCTGTGGAGCTAATGCTGGGGATTTGAGCTGTTTTGTTGAGTGAGAAGCAAATGGGGATCCAGCGACTCACCCTCTCCATTCCCCAATGCCCCACTGTCCCCTCCCAGCCCCCTCAACTTGGCCAAAGGGAAGTGGGGGCCCTGCCACCTGTAGAGTCCCCTGGGGTTTGCCCAGGGCAAACAGGAAGCTACAGCCCAGTGAGACTGGCCTGGGAATTGACAACTGAGAAAGCAGGTCTCTTGGGTCCCTGAGCCCTTTTTCTGAGTGCCTTCAGCAGTCACACACACACACACACACACACACACACACACACACACTCGGAGAGAGGGACAGAGGGAGAGGGAAAGAGAGATTTAGGAGTTGGGACTCCAGGGTTCTAGTGCTCCTTGTATCACCAGCCCGCCCGATGCTTGATGTGTGACCTCACACCAAGCCCTGCCCTTCTCAGGGTCTTCATTTCCCCATTTCTAAATGGGTCCTTTCTATAACAGAAGCAGGGGTTTCCTGGAGGAAGAACTGGATGAAAAAGTGACCTGAATCATTAGTCACTTCTAAGGACCACTGCAAAGGAGCTGCAGCGGCTCCTGCCTTCTCACATAACTGCCCAGCGCCATCCAGCTTTAAGTACGGTGACTGATTTATCCCCAGAATGATCTGCGGGATAGAGTCTCTTGTCATGCCCAGTTTGTGGATAAGGAAATTGTCCATGGTTTTGAACCCAGGCAGCTTTTAGCTATTAATTGACACTGTCTTTAACTGAGGGCCTACTGGGTGCAGGGCTAAAAATGGTGTACATATATTGTCCTGTTTAGTCTTCACAAACTATATATTTTATTTATTTATTTATTTTTCTTGTGGTGCCTTGCACATGCTAGGCAAGCACTATACCACTCAACCACATCCCCAGCCCACAAACCATTTTTTTTATAGTTTGAATATTCTCCCTAGCTAATAAGACAACTGAGGCTTTGAATGATGGAGGAATTTAGCTGAGTGGTGAAGGTAGAAACTTCAAATTCTGATGCCAGGAGCAGTGGCACAGGTCTATAATCCCAGCAGCTCAGGAGGCTGAGGCAGGAGGATCGCAAGTTCAAGGCCAGCCTCAGCAATTTGGCAAGGTCCTGAGCAACTTGGTGAGACCCTGTCTCAAAAGAAAATATAAAAAGGGCTGGGGATGTGGTGCTGGGGAGGTGGCTCATTGGTTAAGTGTCCCTGGGTTCAATCCCTGGTTCCAAAAAAAGAAAAATATACAGATTTTGATCTGTCAGACCCCAAAGTGCGCTGGAGGTGGAAGAAACCCCAAGAAATGTTGGTGGGATGAATGGAGGATGTACACGGGAAGGGAAATGGATTCAGGGCTGGGATTGGGAGGAGGAAGGGGGGGGGGAGTCTCAGGGAGCTCCTTAGTCTGAATCCCTTCAGTCCACAAATTCTGTCAGGTGACTTGATTTAGGGCATAAAGCAAAGGGGACAGTCTCTGCTCCCAAGGGCTTAGGAGCTTGTGGGGGAATTAGAACAAGGAGAGGCACAAATAAGGGCATTTCTCAAGGTGGTGAGTGCGACAATGAAAACAGAGCTGCAGCAGGAAGAGGGCAAGCTTCACAGGTCGGAGGGTGAGTGGAGAAGGGCCCAGGGGGACCGCCCCCTTCCTCTCTGGGGGGATCGCCTGCCACCCCCACAGACACCCATGCTTCACTGCCCACCAGGCCCGGGCCTGCCCCAGCATCCCCTGCGCGGGGAAGCTGGGTGCCCGGAGGAACCAGGCCACCATGCCACCTCCTCTGCTCCTGTCCTTCCTCCTCTTTCTTACCCCTGTGGGAGTCAGGCCCCAGAAGCCACTGCTGGTGGAGGTGGAAGGTATGTCCGAAGGGCAGCGAGGGAAGGAGTGGGGTCTGGACGGCTGGGTTCCTTGACAGGGTAACTCACCCTCTCTGGGCCTCCATTTTCTTATTTGTCAACTTGGGGAGGGTGAGAAGGACTCTGAGGACTCGTCCACTCCCAGTCCGTGGGGTCCTCTGGTTTTTCGGAGGGAAGGGGACTAGGGGCTCCTCTCTCTCTCTCTCTCTCTCTCTCTCCCCACAGAGGGAAAAGAGATCCTGCTGCCGTGCCTCCAGGATCATCCTCCCTCCCAGCAGCTGGCCTGGTCTCGGGGGAACCAGTCGGAACCCTTCTTAGAGCTGAGCCTGGGCTTACCAGACCTGGACATCCTTGTGGGCCACCTGGGCATCCTGCTCGTCTTCAACGTCTCTCACCAGAAGGGGGGCTTCTACTTGTGCAGGTCGGGGCCCCCTTCCAAGGACACCTGGCGGCCTGGCTGGACAGTGAGCGTGGAGGGCAGTGGTGAGGGCCAGGCCGGGCTGGGCAGTGGGGCTGGGCAGCGGGGCTGGGCAGTGGGGCTGGCCAAGGAGAGGGAGGCCTCCAGGGACAGTGGGCCCACGGCCAAAGTGGAGTTGGAGGAGGTCCACCTGCAGCTTCACGACTGGAACAGCTGCCCCTGGTCTCTCACGCTTCTCTTTGGTCGCTGTTTCTCTGCCACCTGCCCCACCCCGCCCGCCATTCTTCATCTCTGTCTCTCTCTCTCTGAGTCTTTATTTCTGGGTCTGTCTCTCTCTTCCTCTCCTAATGTCTGTGTATCTGCTTCTGGGTCTCTTCCCAGGGGAGTTCTTCCGTTGGAATGCTTCAGACTTAGAGGCCCTAAACTGTAGCCGGGGGAACATGTCCTCCAGGGGCACTGGGCTCTCTTCTGATCCCCCCAACACCTCCCAACTCTATGTGTGGGCTAAGGACCACCCTAAGATCTGGAATACAGGGCTGGTGTGTGCCCCACCAAGGGGGAGTCTGAAACAGAGCTTCAGCCAAGGTAAGGGGTCTCTGCTGGGGAGATGCCAGGAGGTGGGGTTCCCTGATGGGGGATGGTGACTGGAAACTGGAAGGTTTGGGGGGATCAGACCCCAAGCATGAGGCTTTCCTTGTCTCTCTCTGCTCCAGATCTCACTGTGGCCCCTAATTCCACACTCTGGCTGTCCTGTGGGGCGTTCCCTACCCCTGTGGTCAGTGGCCCCCTCTCCTGGATCTTCAGGCACCCTCTTAAGTCTCACATCTCATTGCTGAACTTAAGCCTGAGCAAGGAGGCCCCATCCAGAGACATGTGGGTCCGGGGGTCTGTTCTGTCGCTGCCGCAGGCCACAGCTCAAGATGCTGGTACCTATTATTGTCTCCGTGGCAACCTGACCATCGAGATACGCGTGAAGGTCACTGCCCCGTCAGGTAGAGTTACCGCCCATTGTAGGTCATCGCGTGGGGGTTGCTGGAAGAGTTGGAAGCCAGACAGTCTTAGACCCCTGACCTGAGAGTTGCGAAAAGCCTGGTCCCAAAACCCAATTTCTTTTTGGGGGTGGGAGTATCAGGGACTGAACTCAGGGGCACTCAACCACTAAGCCCATCCCCAGCCCTATTTTGTAATTTATTTAGAGACAGGGTCTCACTGAGTTGCTTAGCGCCTCGCCATTGCTGAGGCTGGCTTTGAACTCGCGATCCTCCTGCCTCAGCCTCCCCTGCCGCTGGGATTACAGGCRTGCCCCATGGTGCCCAGCRATGGACAGCCTGCACCAGAAACCCAGTTTCTCCACACAGCTCTTCCCTCCCTGTCTCTAAGGCTGATTTTCTGGGTCTTTCACTGACGCTGTCTGTTCCTCGCCATCTGCTTTGGGAGGAGCCTTATTCCCCCGCCCCTCACTGCTGGAGCCCTGGGCCTTCTCCTCCTCCATGACTTCCCACTCGCATCCCTGACAACACATTCTTCTCCTGGAACCTTTATTCCCATGGCTCCTGGTGTCACCAAGCCTTAGTAACTCTCTTCTGGGTTTCATACCCAGCTACCCCTGCAATTGCCATTTGATGGCCCATGGAAACCTTAGGCCCAACATATATAAAATAAAAATCAACATCTTTCCCACGTGTGGACTTCTGGGTGGCCCTGCGTCAATGAGAAATGCCAACACCTGTCGCCCGCCCCAGCTGGGAGAGTGGGCATCCTTTCCCCTTCACCCCACCCACTCGGTCATGTTATTCTGCTGGTTCTGTCTCCTGGATTCCCGCCCAACATGCTCTCCAACCAAACACTCAGACACCATCTCAGCTTCCACCCCAGACTTGACCACAGCGACACGATAGATCCCAACTCCCGACCTTGTGGACCTACTTTTTCCCTTCACTGTGACCTTGATTGTTTTAACAGCAGCAAGAAGCTGATTGCTAAACTCCACTTAATCCCCACATCCCCTTGGATCACACCCATGCTTTTTACTTGGTTTGCTCAATAAATACTGCCTCACGCTGGGTTCCAGGTTGTGTGTCATGGTCCCTGTCCTCCTAGGATATGGCTCCTTAGAGGGAGGGAGAATAGTCCTCCTCAKAGCTTGGGACTTAAGAGACTATGTCTTGCTTCAATCCCCAGGTGTATGGTCCTTTTGGATTTTTGTTTTCTGGGTTTTTTGTTTTGTTGGTACCAGACTTTGAACCCAGGGATGCTTAACCTCTGAGCCACATCCTCAGCCCTTTGTAATTTTTTTAATGTTTATTTTTCAGTTATAGGTGGACACCATGTCTTTATTTTACTTTATGTGGTGCTGAGGATTGAACCCAGTACCTCACGCATGCTAGGCAAATGCTCTACCACTGAGCTACAGCCCCAGCCCCTGCCCTTTGTAATTTTTAAATTTTGAGACATGGCCTCACTAAGTTGCTGAGGCTGGCCTTGAATTTGCAATCCTCCTGTCTCAGCCTCCCAAGTCACTGGGATTACAGACTTGTGCTGCCACAGCCAGCTCCTTTGTGTTCTTTTTTTTTCTCTCTCTCTCTCTTTTTTTTTTTTTTTTGAGAGAGAGAGAGAGAATTTTTTAAATATTTATTTATTTTTTTTAAGTTATTGGCGGACACAACATCTTTGTTTGTATGTGGTGCTGGGGATCGAACCCGGGCCGCACGCATGCCAGGCGAGCGCGCTACCGCTGGAGCCACATCCCCAGCCCCCCTTTGTGTTCTTGAGGCTGAGAAGGAAGACGCCAGCCTGGGGTCCTTGACTCRCAGCACCCTTTCCTTAGCAGTTTGGCACTGGCTGCTGAAGACTGGWGGCTGGAAAGTCCCCCTTGTAACTTTGGTTTATCTGATCTTCTGCCTGGGTTCCCTGGTGGCCTTTCTTCATCTTCGAAGAGGTGAGTTATGTCCCCCAGCCAGTTTGCTTGAACCCTACCTCAGGATGACACACACTGGCTAGTATGACACCTGTTTTTCTCTCTTCCCACCCCTCCCCCATCCTATAACCCTGTCCCCCCACTTCTCTAACTCCTTTCAAACTTCCCATTCTCCTTGGAATTCGAACTCATCTCCTCTGTTGACCCAGGGGACCTCCTCAGTACCCCCTAAATCCTCACTCTGCCAAGCACTCCTCCTCTGATCCCTCTTCTTAACTCCCACCAGCCCTGATCCAGAGGAGGTTAAGGAAGCGGATGATTGACCCCACCAGGAGGTAATCTGGCAAGGGCACCCTCAGCCCCCTTTTATCTTATGAGATGCATTTACTGTTTCCTCCGCCCGGGGGTCTTTGCCCCATCTCCACCAGGAGTATTACTGCCCAGGCTCCAAGTGCAGCTCCAAAGCTGTGTCAGGTCCTCCTGRAGTGATCCCGACTCCTTTGTAGCTTGTCCCACAGAGGAGCTAGCTAATCACGAGTGACCACGTTCAACCTCTGAGGCCCCAAACTGAATCTGAAGTGTGTCCCGCGGTCCTTGCCAGGTCTAGCCTCAGTGCACGTCCCTTGCTTCCACCAGGTTCTTCAAAGTGACGCCTCCTCAGGGAAACGGGWCCCAGAACCAGTATGGAAACGTGCTATCCCTTCCCACGCCCACCTCTGGCCCGGGTAAGAGACACCAGCAGCCCTTCAGGCCAGGCCCAGCCCTTCCAGCCTGTAGCTCCGCCCCAGCGCGAGAGCTCCACCCATTGCCTCATCCCTCCAATCCCCTGAGCGCCAGGCCTTCCCGAGAGGCAGGTGGGCGGAGGCTGCGGAGTCCCACCCAGGKGTGGCTCCGCCCCCAGAGTCAAGCCCCGCCTCCAGGACACAAAGCCCCACCCCCCACGACGCCTCCTGATGTCCAGTTCCACCACCAAACCGTGCCCCAGAACTTGAGGCCACCACCCCAGATATAGAGCTGGCCTCCATGGTTCAAGGCCAGGTACCTAAACCCAGAGGCCATCCCTGGAACCTAGAGCACCCTCTCCCCCTGCCCCCTCACATTGTCGTCTCCAGGACGTACCAAGCGCTGGGCGGCAGGCACGGGAAGCGCCTCCCTGTCCTACGGAAACCCGCGCCGCGATGCCCAGGAGGCTGGCACCCCAGAAGCAGGTGAATGAGGGGGTCCTTCCTCACGCAGAGGTGTTGAAGCTGTCTGTGGCACATTCTGGCCTGGGCTGGAGGACGACAACAGTGATTCAGTTCCCCACCCCTGTCCCCAAACCCGCAGGACTAGAAGAAGAAGGGGAGGGCTATGAGGAGCCGGACAGCGAGGAGGGGTCCGAGTCCTATGAGAACGACTCCAACCTCGGGCGGGACCAGCTTTCCCAGGGTAAGGCTGCCCACTCTCCGCCTCCCCACTTCTGTGCGCTGTGGACCCCTGCTGGATGTCCCTCCTTCTCCACCAGATGGCAGTGGCTATGAGAACCCTGAGGATGGGTCCCTGGGTCCTGAGGACGCAGACTCCTTCTCCAACGGTAATTTAGGGTCCTTGTGGGGCTCCAGGTATGGGGGAGGGGCCAGCACAGTGTGGAGCTCCTCAGGGTAGGAGTGGTCTCTGGAGCTTTCCTTGTGCCTCAGCTGAGTCTTACGAGAACGAGGATGAAGAGCTGGCCCCACCGGTCACCAAGACAATGGGTGAGTATGAAGAAGGTCGCACTCCTGGGAAGGGGAAAGGTCTGGAAGCTGGGAGGAATAGTGATGTCCCTTTTCATTTTTCAGACTTCCTGAGCCCCCATGGGTCTGCCAGGGACCCCAGCCGGGAAGCAACCTCCCTTGGTGAGAGACCCTTGGGACTAGCCTGCCTTGCCCAGTCTGGGTGACCTGCCCTCAGCCCTGCTACCAGGCCCAACCTTGACCTGATTCTGACCCCAAATTCAAGCTTAGCTCTGACCTTAGATTTGACTCCTAACTGTAACCTCAACAATGATCCCATCCCCAATTTGGACCCTCAGTATTTACACTGTCACTAATCTTAAACATCAACATCAAGCCCAATGCACTGCCAACCTTGACCCCAATGCACTGCCAACCTTGACCCTAGCTCAATTTCCTCTTCATTCTCACTTTTCCCAAATCTGCTCACTGCCCCACCCCCAAACCCCAGGATTGAACCTGGAGTCTTGTACCAGAGCTACGTCCCCAGCTCTACTTTATTTTATTTGGAGACAGGGTCTCACTAAGTTGCTGAGGCTGGTCTCAAACTTGGGATTCTCCTCCTTAGCCTTCGAGAGGCAGGGTGAGCATGTGCTTCTGTGCCCGGCTCCAGTTTTTCTGACCATGACCATAATCTAACCCATACCTAACCCTGAGCCTACAACTAAGCAGGACCCCAAACCTGGTGGTGACCTAATCAATCATTCCAACATGGGTGGGGTCTCCACCTTCCCGGCCCCTCAGGTTCCTTCCCAGTGGTAGGCCAACTTCCTTCTAAGTCCTGGGCAGGGATCTGGCCTCCAATTCTCCATCCCCCGCCCAATCAGGGTCCCAGTCCTATGAAGATATGAGAGGGATCCTGTATGTGGCCCCCCAGCTCCGCCCCCTTCGGACCGGTCCCAATCATGAGGAAGGTACTGGCTTCTGCACTGTCCCTGGGTGTCCTCTGGCGGACTTCCCTTCCTAGCCTACTTCCACCCCCACCTGCGTTTTGCTTTTTTTCTGGTCCTTCGCAGACGCAGACTCTTATGAGAACATGGATAATCCTGAAGAGCCAGAACCAGCATGGGGAGGAGGAGGGCGCATGGCAGCCTGGAGTACCAGGTGACCCCCAGGTGACCAGGTGAGCTGGGAAAGGCCGCTAGGAAATGAGGAGGAGGAGGAGGAGGAGGGAGATACGCAGGGATGGCAGAGGACATTGACTCTGAGAAGGAGAGGGAAAGCGGTTCCCAGAGCCTGGCGGGCAGGGGAGGGCCCCTGGACCCATTTTCACCCCCATTTCTTCTACACAGCTTGCGTGTCCTGAGGCCCCAACACCTGCCTACTCCTGACTTGGAAATCTGGGGACTCCCAGCAGACAGTGTCAAACCCTGGAGTGAAGTTGCTTGGGATATTGGTGTGTGTGTGTGTGTGTGTGTGTGTGTGTGTGTGTGCGCGCGCGCGCGCACGTGTGTACATGCATGTAGGCTTATGTGTGTGTTTTTGTGAATGTACAACTGAATCTTCCAACCCCTTTTGCTTTCCCCAAATAAACTCAATGAACTCTTCCAGTCCTCTGAAGTGTAGTGCTTTTTTGTGGGAGGGAAGAAAAGGTGAGGATAGACACACTCCTGTCCCCTCTTGAGTTCCCCAGAGGCAGGAGGGCTGCATTCCATGTACTGCGTGGCTTGGCATGTACCTTCTGTGGGGTGGCTCCATTCATTGCCCTCATCTACCTGTTCCTCACCTTCAGCTTCATTCCCACAACCCAGTTATCCAACTATTGTTCACTCGGCAGTTGTATGCACAAGGAAGAAACMCTGCAGGGACTGGCAGACTACCTAGACGCATCTTCCATCATCATACAGTCTTTATTTATTGAGCATCTACTATATGTATCCAGGCTGGTCAACTCCTGGGCTCAAGTGATCGTCCTGTCTTAGCCTCCTGAGTAGCTGGACTACAGGCACTCACCACTATGCCTTTTTTTTGGTGCTGAGGATTGAACCTGTGGCCTGATGGATGCTAAGCATGTGTTCTATCACCAATCTACCCCCTCAGCTCCATGAAATAAATATTTGGTCTTCATCCCTGTTTCCTGGTATACAAATAACTCCTGAAATCCTCGGAATCTCCAGAACTCTATCTAGCGAGTTGACTTGACGGATGGTTGTCAACTCCCAGGGAACTTCAGGATGGGGGTCATAAGAAAGAACAAAGCAGGATTAGAGGGTTAGGACTTTCAGCCCACCCCTCAACCTCCAGGGAGGAGAGAGGAGCTAAAGGTCAGTTGATCACCAGTGGCCAGTGGTGTAATCAATCATGTGCACGTACGGAGCTTCCTTGAATCCCCAAAGGCCAGGGCTTGGAGAGCTTTAGGGTAGCTGAACAGGGGGAGGTTCCTGGAGGAAGGTGCCTTGAAGAGGCCGTGGAAGCCTCGTGCCCTGTCCCACGGGCCTTGCCCTGTGCCTCTCTTCATCTGTCTTCTGTAACAAACTAGTAAATCCGTTTCCCTGTGTTCTGTGAGCCACTCTGGCAAGCTGATGGAATCCAAGGAGAGGGTCGTGGGAACCCTGGTTTGCAGCCAGTGGGTCAGAAGCACAGGTAAAGCAAGCTGGGGGCTGCCATCGGCATCAGGAGGAGGGGAGCAGTCTTGGGGGGCTGTGTCCTAACCTGTGGGATCTGACGCTCTCTCCAGGTAGTGCAGAACAGAGCTGGATTAGGGGACACCCAATTGGTATCTGCTACAGAATTAATTGCTCACTTGCYAATGGGGAGAAGTCCTTTCAGAAGTCCTTTTAGTCTCCTGAGTTCAATCCCCAGGATCAATAAGATTATATTAACACATTTCATCTTCACAAACTTAAGAGATAAGTATACTTCATTATGGCCATTTCATAGATGAGGAGACTGAGGCAGAGAAGTTAGATAACAAGCCCAAGGCTTGCCAAGGTATTAAATGCTGAGTCCATCCAATCCAATTCTGAGCCCCTACTCAATCTTTTTTTTTGGGGGGGTGGTAGTGGGGATTGAACCCAGGGGCACTTTACCACTGAGCCACATACCCAGCCCTTCTTATTTTGAGTCAGGGTGTCACTAAGTTGCTGAGGTCCTTGCTGAATGGCTGAAGCTGGCCTTGAACTCCCTTTCCTCCTGCCCTGCCTCAGCCTGAGCTGCTGGGATGACAGGCATGTGCCACTGTCCCCAGCCTATTTTCAATCTTGACACTCTCCCTTCTAGGTGTAAAATTATCAATAAGAAACTGAGCACCAGAGAGGCTAACTGATGCCAGGCCATGGTGGTGCTCGCCTGTAATACCAGCAACTCAGGAGATAGAGGCAGGAAGATCGCAAGTTCAAGGTCAGCCTGGGCAATTCAGTGAGATTCTACCTCAAAATAAAAAGTAAAAAGGGATGGAGATGTGGCTCGGTAGTAAAATGGCCCTGAGTTCAATCCCCAGGATTAATAATAATAATAATAATAATAATAATAAATTAAAATAATTTTTAAAAAGCCAAATAAATCAGAGACTAAAAGTCTTCAGCCCCAAAAATAATTTTCTAGAAAGCTCCAAATTCTTTTTTTCTTTTTCTTTTTTGGTATCCATGTGGATACCACATCCCCAACCCTTTTTAAAATATCTTACTAGAGACAGGGTCTCACTGAGTTGCTTAGTACCTCACTAAGTTGCTGAGGATGGCTTTGAACTCGAGATCCTCCTGCCTCAGCCTCCTGAGCCTCTAGGATTATAGGCACGCACCACCACACCTGGCTACATCCAAATTCTTATCTCAGGAAAAGTTGTCATCAGTCACGGTATTCCTGATGTCTTCTGCCTGGCCTGCTTCTCCTGCCACCACCAGTGTCCCCAAGTCCAGTGGCCTTCTGAAACCCAGAACTAGCTGCTGAAAACCCAAGTCCTCTTGCTCCAGAAATTTCAAACCTCTCTACAAATAAACAAGATAAACAAATAAACTAAAGGCCTTCTGTGGGGAGCTACCCCAAATGTACCACTGGGATCTGAAAGATCACTGTAGTSTGGCTCGGTAGTGCTGCCTGACCCCTGACTCCGCTTTTCCCTCGATGGAATAACAAGGTGTGGCCCTAGGATTGGTGGCACCCAGAGGGGTGGAGCTACACTCACCTGTTCCTTTGTAATCCCACCCCGTGCCTCATATGAATGGCTTCTCCCCATAAAAAGGGTTCAGCACGTGCTCCTTGCTCTCTTTCCACGGACCCCTCAGGTCAGAGGAGCCCACACAGGACCCAAAGAAAAAGGTATTTCTCTGTCTCTGTGTGGTTATTTCATGCAGCCCAGTTCACTTGGAGTGACCCTGAGGGTTTACTGGTGGGACAGCATTCAGTACATCTACAACTACAAAAAAATAAAATAAAATAAAATAAACCTTGGGTTTTTTTTAATTTTTATTTTTTTCCTGGTGAGTTCTTCTTTATCTCTGAACATTTTAGACCTACTTTTCCTGTGTTAAGATTACTGTTATGTGCCAAGCATCTTTCTAAGTGTTTTAGAGGTACCATCTCAATTTACGTTCACAACAATCCTAGCAGGAAGAAGGAATAAAATTCTCCTCTTACACCTGAGAAAACTGAGGCATAGAGAAGTTACACACCTGTTTTGATTGCTAACTGGCTTTTGGCAAAGGAACCTGTCTGAGCCTCAGTTTCTCTAACTATAAAATGGCACCAGGGAAGAGGCCTCGTATGGTTACTATTATCCTTATATTTTTAATTACTTAGTTAATTAATTAATTAAGAGTCCCAGGGATTGAACTCAGGGGCACTCGACCACGGAGCCACACCCCCAGCCCTATTTTGTATTTTATTGAGAGACAGGGTCTCCCTGAGTTGCTCAGTGCCCTGCTTTCGCTGAGGCTGGCTTTGAACTCGTGATCCTCCCTCCTCAACCTCCTGAGCTGCTGGGATCACTTCGCCCAGCACTATTATCTTTATAACGGTGTGAATTCTCCCGTGGTTTCCTGGTGTCACCATGGAGGGTTTCTTGACTTCTTTGTGTTTCTCCTGCCTGTGGGAATCCCTTGAGTTCCCTGGGCCCCACTGCCTGTCCCTGGGGCCAGCCTACTTTGGCTTCTGCCACTGTCTTACCAGCCACACAGGTTTCTGACCATTTTATTCATGAGTTTGTCTAAGTAGATTTTTGTTCCAGAGATTTGGGCTGTGTCAGGACCTGACTTCCAAGAGCCTTGAGATCCTGATTACCCCCGATGGTTTACGTCCATGTCCCATGCCAGGACCCTGGGGAAGGATTTATTTTTTTTCTCCTTTGTCTGGGCCCAGATGAGATATTCCCTCCTCAATTTCCAGCCTTGGTCAGGAAGCAGTTTCAGTTTGCTGCTGTTCCTGGGGCCTCAGCCTTGACCTCTGTCTCCATGTGAGTATGAAAATGACCATCCGACATACAGGTGCAGTGGCACACACCTGTAATCCCAGCAACTCTGGAGGCTGAGGCAGGAGAATCACAAGTTCTAGGCCAGCCTGAGCAACTTAGTGAGGAATAAGGGATGGGGACCTAGCTCCATGGTAGAGCATCCCTGGTTCAATCCTCAGTACCACAAAGCCATCCCCAGGGCTGCCTGACCTCACATTCCTCCTCCAGAACCATCATGACTTTGATTTCCTTCTTTATTTCTGGCACCAAGAAAACAAGAAGATTCTGTATTTTTTATTTTGGAGATTGCACCCGAAGGCCGATTACCACTGAGCCACATCCCAGCCCTTTTTATTTTTAATTTTGAAACAGGGTCTCCCTAAGTTTCTTCAGGCCTCACTAAATTGTTGAGGTTGGCCTTGAACTTCGGATTCTCCTGCCTCAGTCTCCCAAGTTGCTGGTCTTACGGGCATAACACAAATCTGCTTTCTTCAGTTCACTTGAGTTTCCCATCTGTGCTTGAAGCCTTTCTAGTGTGACTTCTGGTCAAAATGTCCTGCCTTCCTGAGGTTAGATCCTTGTCCCAGTCTCCTTGCCCCGGGTACCCAGCTAGGGGATGGTAGTGATCTTCAGAGGCTCAGGAAATGGGAAGGAGGAGGAGCAAATGTAGGATTATGGAAAGTTCTGCTGTGGGAGCTTCATGCATTGGGGGTTGGGGGGTGGGAGGAGCTGTGGGGTCCGCCACTCAGGCAAGTGTGGGGGGTGGGGGGGAAGCTGAGGTTGGAAGAGAAGGGGTGCTGCCTCCAGCCCAGAGCTCCAGAATGAGGCCACGTGGGTCTGAATCCCACCTCTGTCCCTTCCACGCTGGGCCACTTTTAGCTCCTGAAGCTTGGGGAGAAGGAGGCTTGAGGGACATTTCAGGCCCTCGGTGTTACTTCTTGCATCTTGGCTTCCAGTCACCTCCCAGGTGGGGCCCATGGCTAAAAGAGGGCTGTAGGCTGTTTTAGACTTTCGACGGTCAGCCAGGTACAGTGGCTCTTTAATGTAGTTCCAGCTACCAGGGAGGCTGAGAAAGGAGGATGGCATGAGCCCAGGAATTCAGCCAGGACCACATAGTAAGAGCCCATCTTCAAAAAACAACCTTTCCTTCTGAAGATTGGATAATTTGAGACTCTGGAATTACCTGATAGCAGACAATTTACAAGAGAAAAAAAAATCTTTCTTTCCTTCTTTTTTTTTTTTTTTTTTTTTTTAGTTTTTATTTTGAGATTGGGTCTCACTCATTTTCTCAGGCTGGCCTTCAACTCCTGCTTCTCCTGCCTCAGTCTCCTGAGTGGCTGGGGTAAGGCCACCGCACCAGCTAGAAAAAAAATCAGATAGTTGAAGTTTACATATTATTCCCTAAAGAGAGAAATAATTGGCTTCAGGGATGTCCACGCCAGGGAGTCTCAGAGAAGCTGGTGTCAGGTGCCACTCCATAGAAACTCTATTCTTTTCTCAGCCCTGCAAGGTAGAAGGGACACGTGATGGGGGATAATATGTGTAATATTATATGTAATACATAACATATATAAACTGTATCTAATAAAATATAGTTATAGAAATAAACAGGGACCTGGGTCTTCTGTGGGGAGGGGKTGACAAACTAAGTTTTCACAGGTGAAGAGGTGTCTTTCTCCCAAAAAGGTCCAAGGAGTTTCTGGAGAGAAGGTGGAACCCCATTCAGGACCAGTGGGGTTCTTGGGGCCTACGTGATAGAAAGAATTTCAGTGCACACCAGACAGAAGTTTATTTAGGAAAGTAGATTAACGCATTCAAGGGACAAAATGGGTCATCTCAAGAATGAGACACTTGATTTGGGGGGTTCCCCGCTCTTCTTTTAAGGGAAACTCTGTGAGGGGTGTTAATAGGAAGGTATGTAGGAGTGACGTCATGTGGGTAATCTCAAGATGGTTTCCAGTGATCTGGTCAATCTCAGGTGATCTGATCAATAGAAAGCCCTGGAAAGTYCACCTAAATAGTAGATTTATTAAAATGTCATATCTCTCTTTGCTTAATCTATTTATTGGGGGGATAATTAATCATACTCAAGACAAATTTACTTATTTTCTAGAAATTTGGGATTGACAGGCCTGAGAGACTGTCTTAGGCCTAGAAAAGTATATAAAACTTCTGAATTTAAATTTTGATTACCTTGCCCTTCCTTTATATCTCCTTTCTTCTTCTTTCTTATTTTCCTCTACTCTACCTCAGAGGGGACCGGAGAGAAAGCCACCACAAGCAAATACCGTTTACTTTTTTTTTTTTTTTTAAAGAGAATTTTTTAATATTTATTTTTTAGATTTCGGCGGACACAACATCTTCGTTGGTATGTGGTGCTGAGGATCGAACCCGGGCCGCACGCATGCCAGGCGAGCGCGCTACCGCTTGAGCCACATCCCCAGCCCCCGTTTACTTTTTATAATATCAATTTCCTTTATAAATGTGTCTTTTACAGACTTCAGCATTTCTCTGAATAGCCATCATGAAATATGCCAAATAAGTATATTTTGGGGAGGTGTATTTTGGTCTCCCTTCGGGGCCTTTGGTGCAATCTATGCTTCCAGCCTGCCTACAAAAGCCTCCTGGGGTTGGGAAGTCCTTGGAGTCCCCTCTGTCAGAGCCCAGTAGCCTTTGTGTACTGAGAAACAGCTCCACCTGCTGGCGTGAGTCTCCACCTGACCTGGGTGAGTCAGTGTGGAGGATCTGAGGGTGTGTTGTGTTGGGGTGAATGTGTGGGGGGATGTCATTGACATGGTGCTGGTGGTGTCCAGAATGGGATGTGGGTGGCCCTTGAGATGCTGTTCTGGATGGATGTGTGCAGTACAACTTACATGAACATTTGTGTGTGTGTCTTGTGGAGTTGGGTGCCTGTTGTGTGGGTGTCACTGGAAGTCTGCTGTGGACGTATGGTGTGAGGTTCAGGGATTTATACAGTTGGAGGCAAAGTGGGAGGTGTGAAGTGTTGAAGAGGTGTGTTTGTGTTGCATTGCTCAGGACTTGTGTGGAAGATACAGATGTTGGAGGTGTATGATACCATTTGTGTGAGGTGTGGGTAGGTGTGTTGGGGGGAATATAATTAAAAACAAAAATCTCTCAACCCAATAACCCTCTCCACAAAGGTGGTAGGGGACAGGAAGGTTTTATTACAGAGTATGCATTAAGCTAGAATGTGATTGGCATCACAAGCAATCCATGAAGATTGCAAAGGCAGAAAGAAATCTTACCCTTGAACCCAGGGCTTCCAGCAAGCCAAGCACTTGCTCTACCGCTGAGTTACCCCCAGCCCCACTGCTATTTAAGGTCAAATTTCAAAACTGATATCAGGCTTTCAAGATGAACAACTCCTCAAAAGGAGTTGATTAAACCTTTAGTGAAACATGGTTCATCTTAACTTTATCATGCATGATAAGCAAGGAGGCAACTTGTGCTAAGACGTTTGCTGGAGAGGGAACAAACTTTTTTGGTAGTTTCGCATATTGGAGCAAGATGACCAGAGAAGTTAGGCTCTTATTTTCCCCTAGGAACTGGGAGGTGTGTGTGTGTGGGGGGAAATCCCCTTAACATTTGCATTTCGGAAAACACATATCCCCTGGGCTGGGGATGAGTGCTTGACTGGCAGGTCCTAAATTCAGTTCCCAGCAACCCCCGCCCCCCAAAACAACAACAACAAAAACCCACAAAACACAGCTCTGAGTTGTGAACCCCTGAGTTGTGAAAGGCATTATAAAGATCGGCATCCGCGGCCCTTTGAATGTTGGATTTTGATCTGTTCCCGGGCTAGCACCATCTTCTCACGTGATGCTGGGCAGGGAAGGGGGCTGCAGCTCCCGTCACCCGGGTGAACAGCCAGTGCTGCAAGGTGCGCTGTGGTGCSGAGCCGCGACCTTCTGTGGGTTGGGCATGTTAATTGCAATGGTAAATCATAAATCGAGGAGCACCTGTATTTGAAAGGACAGATTTTGAGAGAGAAGGAGGAGAAGTCTTTTCCTTCGTTTTCAACAGGGAGAATTAAGCCTCTTATTTTAATCTGTCTCTGCCCTTGAAGGAGCCGCGTGGTGCCAAGTGTGTGCTCTTGGGTGTGTTTGAAGGTGTCCGACATGAGGGACGGTGGACCTGTGTGCGAATGTGGCACTGAGTGGAATTCCTCAGGCCTGCAGCAGTCGGCTGTGGGCTGGGGGGGCCGTGGCCGGATACCCGCGAAATCTCCGGCCTAACTTGGCAGCTCGCGAGGCGTTTCCCGCTCCTTCTTCCGCCTCTCTGAGCACTACAATTCCCAGGATGCCCCGCGCCTCCGCCACCGAGAAGACGGGTCTCTTCCGTGGCGGCTCCGGGGAAAGGCTCGTCTGAAGGGAAGAAGCCCGGCCAATGGGGGAGCCGGACGCAATCGAAACCTTCGCTGATTGCACCGAGGGGATTGGAATCTTTGGCGCCTTTCTTTCAGTGGTGGGTGCGTGATGGACGGGTGAGTTGACCAATGAAGTGGCAGGGGGCGGGCCCAGAGCGTGCGTGCGGAGAGGGATGCTGGCCAGCGGGCTGTTCGCCCAGTAAAAGGCGTAAGTTGCTGGAGGGGGGGCGGCCCAGAGTGAAGGCGGGCGTGTGCCATGGCGGAACCGGCGAGGAGACGGGGTCGAAGGCCCCGAGGCGGCGGTGTTGGCCGAGGGGCTCGGGGAGCCCGGGGCGGTCGGGGCCGGCGTCCTCGCGCCCAGCGGTCTCCAGCTCGGCGCACCCCGGACACAGTGCTGGTGGACCTGGTCAGCGACAGCGACGAGGATTTCGTGGAGGTCGCGACTGCGCRCGGTGCTGCGGAGCCAGCTGAGGTCTCGTCCCCGATTGTGGTCCCGTCTCCGGAGCCCCCAGTGCCGGCCGCACCCCGGGCCGACAGCGACAGCGACAGTGACAGTGAAGGCGCCGACGCGCGGCCTGCGGGAGCCCAGCGGACTCTGATCCGGCGGCGGCGGCGGCTGCTGCTGGATCCGGGGGAGGCGCCGGTGGTTCCGGTGTACTCCGGGAAGGTGCAGCCAGGTTCTCGGGAGGGCTAGCGCCGGGGGCTGAAGGGCGGGGGGCTGCAGGAGGGCTGTGTTTCGGGTGTGCGGGGACTGGGGGCTGGGGGTGGCCTTGCCGGGCTAAACAGAAACCGGGGCTCGGTGTCGGAAGGGAGAGACGCGAGGCTCCTGGGGCACCTGCAGATTGGGGAAGTTGCAAATATGGGGCTCTGTTGTCTTGGGCATAGGGAGGCAGAGGGACTGGGAGAAGCTGGGATTTGGGGCATGTTGAACTTTGAGACTGGAGTCCATTGCAAAGGAAGCCAGGGAGCTGGGGTTCATAGGGAGGGATTCGGAAGGACTGGGGGGCTCGCTCCAGGAGGCCAGGGTCCCCAGGTGGTAGGTTGAGCGAGAGGCCTGGGGTTCACTAGTCGTCTAGGGTAGAGGAATAGCTAAACACCTGGTTAAAAGAACTATYGCTCCATCTTCAGAGTGCCTTGGGGAAAGGGGCTTGGTACTACAATTTTGGATCCTGGGGGAGCTAGGGATATGGCTCAGTGGTAGAATGCTTGCCTAGCATGCATGTGGCCCTAGATTGAAACCCCAGCACTGGAAAACAAGAAAAATGGGATTCTGGAGAAGCTGGACTCCTCTGAGTTGCCTAGAGTGGGCCATAGTATCCTCATCCTTAGGGAGGACATAGGAATTGGGTGCCAGAAGAATCATCCTTCATGTTCCCTTTTGGGAGGTAGAGAACTTGGGACTGATCCTCYCCTTTTTGTCTTTACAGGTGCAAAGCAGCCTCCACCTCATCCCAGATCATGTGTCCCTCCTGAAACTCTGCCCTGAAGGGGCTGAGGAAGGTAAGGGAGCATGGGCTTCCCCAAGGAGACTTTCTGGGGTTTACATCCAGTTATCTCTCTCTACTGTGGTTTTGGAATCCAGCCTAGGGACTGTGCTTGTACTCCATCTGGGAGCCACATTCCCAACCCTAATTGTCTTTTGAGACTCAAGGAAAGGACATGGGAGAGGGGACTCTCCTACATTCTACCTATTAAAAGACTCCAGTCCTGGAAGGAGCTGGATTGTTAACTAGAAAGCACTGGAACCAACTTAGAAGTGCTGTCCAACCACCCTCTTCCTGACTCTTTTTTAAAAATATATTTATTTTGTTCATTTATTTTTATGTGGTGCTGAGGATCGAACCCAGGACCTTACTTATGCTAGGCGAGCGCTCTACCGCTGAGCCCCAGCCCCAGCCCCTTCCTGACTTTTTTTTTTTTTATAAGAGAGAGTGGGGGGGGAGAGAGAGAGAGAGAGAGAGAATTTTTTAATATTTATTTTTTTTAGTTCTCGGCGGACACAACATCTTTGTTGGTATGTGGTGCTGAGGATCGAACCCGGGCCGCACGCATGCCAGGCGAGCGCGCTACCGCTTGAGCCACATCCCCAGCCCCCTTCCTGACTCTTAACAGACAGAAGAGTGTATTAATATAGATTTTCGGGTGGCACCCCCAGACGTTCTGATTCTGTGATCCTAGTGGGGGCAGGGGAAGGGGAGTGTTTAGAATATGTGATATCTTGTTACAACTGCACCAAGTCCATGGAGCCAGAAGGATGTTCTTTGACTCTTATCAGGGTTGCATAGCCTTTATCCTCCCCCAGTCATGTGTGATTTTTGCAAAYCACCCAAGGACAGTGAATAGGAATCAAGTCTAATAAGGAAGTGATCCCATCTGTAAATGCAGACCTTGACCAAGACTTTGGTACCATGAAGGGGTACCAAATACTGATTTGGCTTGGCTTCAAATCCCAGCCCTAACTCTCAATAACTGTGTGACCATGGGCAAGTTATTTAACCTCTTAATGCTTTAATTTTCTCATTAGGAAAAGGGGGATAATATTGGATCTATGTTAAAATGATTTTGGTGAGAATTATTTTAAGGGAATATATAGAGAGCTGTTTCTTGGCAATGTATATAGTTTAGAACAGTACCTGGAAAGGAGAAGTACTATCAGAAGGTACCTCCAWCCTTGCTATTCAAAATGTGGGCCCAACAGTTGGGCATCCCCTGGGAGTTTGTTAGAAATACAAGATTTTATGCCTGTGACAGCTGCCTTGTTTAGATAGGACAGAATTTTTCAACCTCAGCGTTACTGATATTTTGGACTGCAAARTTCTTTTTGTAGGAGGGCTGTCCAGTGAACTATAGGAACTGACTTCTGTTCACTACCACATCACAACCCCCTTCCTGTCCACATTGTGAYGGCAGAATTTCTCCAGACATTGTCACATGTCCCCTGGGAGGCAAAATTGCCCCTTGTTGAGAACTCCTGATCTAGAGTTCATTATTGTTTCATTTGTGCAGTACTTATTTTGTGGTACTGGGAAAAGAACCCAGGGCCTTGTGTACGCTAGGCAAGCACTCTATTGCTGAGCTACACCCCAGCCCAACAGCATTTATTTTGATGTTTTATGTTAAAATTTATTGGCATTGAGCAAATGGGAAAAAATTTMTGTATTTTAGAATAATATCTGTTTTCTTTTTATTAGAAATATAAGTTAAAAATGGTGACTTAGGGGCTGGGGATGTGGCTCAAGCGGTAGC